GGTCTAGAGGTGAAACTGATATCATGACATCAAGACAACATGTCATCTTCCAATTAATGAGTTCACCAATGGGTTTTCTGTGGCTGATGATGAAAATCCATCTAAAAAAAGAAAGTGTGTGAGGTTCAGTGACTGGGCCAGATGGAATATGAATGAATTTAAGCCTGACAAATGAAATAATAGTCAGACATTTATTTTTTATTTTTTTTTACATTTAGGCAAAATTTACAAAAAGTTTGATTTTGTGTTTTTTATTGAGTATCATATTTGATACAGCAGGCTTTTATGGCTCATATAGTATGATAGAATATGGAAAAAACAGCTACATTTTATTACGAGGCTCAAACTGAGCAAAAATATGCAATTTGGTGCAGAAGCTGATATTTAAATGGACAAAAAGTAGGAAATTCTGATTGTAATGTAAATCAATGAGATATTTATAACAGTATAGCAGGTATTACATAATATGATATAAATGTCAGTCGTCATCTCCCAATAATATGTATTTACTAAGATGGTATTGAAATGCTTAATTTGATCATCAAAACTTATGATTCAATGCAATACAATAATGATTTAGAGATGAACAAATAAACGTTCCTCAAAAGCCCGATGGCCATATTTGATACTCACTGATTTTTCTGGATAATCAAGTAACTTCAGTCCAGTAACTGTTCATCTTGAAATATTACTGAACAACATCAAAGTTATTCTTATGTTTACTTTATAAAAATCGATAAAGATTTCACAGCAAAAGACACATGAAGGTCGACATCCATATAGAAGGCATGTGTGCAACAGCAAAACTTTCAGCAAAGTTTTGACCATGTTGTTGATCATTTAGGCTTTATTTGTGTATTGAATATGATACAGTAGGCTTTATAGGGTTAAACATGCTAGTGAGTGCAACATGTTTTTGGCGGCTGCAAGCTTAATCAAATTAGCTGAAATATTTCATTAAAAACACTCAAAAGACGGTAGATGTGTAGAATTTAATGAATGACTGACATTCCATTTCTGTGGAAATCTGCAGAACTTTCTCTGCAGATTCTGTGCGGGCCTGAAAAAAATCTACATGAAATCTAAATCAATCCTATTTATATGTTTAATAAATGCTCCTTTTCCCTTTTTCCCATTTTTAACACACAAAGAGGTTATTTCTCCATCCAATCATTTCCTGATTGATAAATGTATTTTTTTCTCTTCATTGTAAACATTCACTTGGAAACATGCCATTTGACAGAAAGACTTGTGAATGTTGTTTGTTTCATGTTGACTTTGGTGTGTATGTGAGCAGAGATGATACAGATCAGTGTTATCTATGGCTGATGGTGTAAAACGCAAGAAAATACTGCCAATGATTCACACTATAAAAATGACAATTTAGATATTATATTACAAGATGTCTGGAAAGATGATCCTTTAGAACCTGTTTTACAAACATATAGACAGACAGTTTTTCCATATGGATATATTTTTAATCATGTTTGTCTATATCAGTGGGGGAAAAATAGATAAATATATATAAAACATAAAGGCTGCATGCATAATATTTTTTTTATTAAAAATAATTTTAGAGCATCATGACTGACTGCAGTACGACTCCTAAAGTATTTCATGTCAAATGTTAGTTAGTCATACTAGGACTTTACATACATACCTTTATTATATTTTTTCTTGTTTTTGCAAGTTTTTTTAAAAATTTTTTTTAAAGTCTGTATTTTTTTTTTGCAAGATCAAACACACAAGAACAATTTTCCATTTTTAACTTCTTTTTCTGTACTTTAACCATTTATGATGACTAACATCACAAAAGTCCCAAATTCGTATGCAATATTTGCATTCAAAAATAAAGGGATGCAGTGGAAATTGAGTCTGAGTGTCTGAGGCAAGAGATTGAGAACATTTTGTTTACATTTAAAGGGATACTCAATATTTCCATTGAAGGAAAATGTACCTTTATATATTCTGACAGCAACACAAAATCTGACACATTTGACATGCAGTCATTGCAATGTTTTCTTTAAATTCCAACATAGAGCTAAATTTCTAAAACTCAAAAACTGTGTGAATTTTCATAAAAACCATTAATCTTTACTTAAATGTGGGGAAAGACCCTAACGTTGATCAAAGATAACCTATAGCTAAGATAGACAGAATATTTCAAGTTATGAGTCAGTTTCTGTTGTCATATTTCCATCATAAGATGAAACTAAGCAAAATTCTGAACAGAATTCTTACTCACTGTTTTTCTGTTAAAATAAGACTGTGAACCACATCATTTGAATATCAGAGACTGCTCTAAAACACATTTACTTCTGCAGGTGAAACTAGTCTTTTAGTCAGACCTAGCTTCCTTTTAAATTTGTCTATGGTCTTTTTCTGAAATTTGGGTTTTAAGCTGATTGTCCAACTTCCTCGCTGGAAGCAGAACTGGTTTGTTTTGTGGAGGAGGTTCACACATGCTCATATTGAGGTGGATTACAGTTGCATTAAAATGGAAAATCAAAACAAAACAGCTGGTTACAAACAAATTGACTCACACTTGAACGAGTCTCGACCAAACAGTTTTGACTTGACTGAGTCACATTATGGTTTATGGTTGTAAAAGCTGCTAAATCAGGGAAGAACTTCATGTTAATATGAAGTTCTTGTTTAAATGTCTGTGAGGAACATAAATTAAGGAACAAAAACTATATGTGTATGACTGACATACACTACACGATACCATATATGCATATATATAGTGGTTATGAATAATTTAAGGGTGCTTTTACACTTGGTTCAATTGCTTGGTCCGAACCAAGTTCAGACCAAAATTATATATAGAGTATAATTTTATGTATATTTTTTCTCAACAATAGCTAGTGAAATCATTACTGATAGGTAGATTAGCTCGTAGCTGACTGCTGGTTAGTTTTGATTTGCTTACTTTGATGAATGGTGAGGAGTATCCTAGCTAACTCAGTATTTTAATGGAAATTAACAGTTGACAGCAATTATTATATTTTAGTTTTTGCAACAGGTAGAATCAACCATCAAATCCTCAACCTACCTTACTTCCAGAAATGTTTTAATCAACTTGATTCCAGGTTCAAATGTCATCAATTCCAAGAATCGATTCCCAACTAATATTTCCGATTCTTATTCTTATTTCTGTTGTGTGTGTCAGAGATCATATGTGATTATTAGGGACTTTCAGCAGTGTTGGCTAGTAGCGTTGAACTGAAAATTCAACTTTTCGTTGAATTGTGAAAATATAAATAATTTGTACAAAACAATTTATGAAGGCATAATTTCATTCCATAGGCCTGAATTCATTCCAACATGCTAAATTTAACACAAATAGACAAACAAATTTCAAATAGAAGTTTTAATCATAAAATCAGTCAGATAAAGAGTATCATTTTAGGCAAGATAATACAAATATATAAACCTAACTAATCAAACTTTTCAGTTGA